AAATATTTTTATTTCTGAAGGTTTTTACATAGTTGATTAGGGTGATTAGCGTCAAGGGCTACAGGAAGGTGAGCAAAATCGCCACTTCCACATTCTGTTTTCTTTTCCTCCCTATATCTGGAGGAAGAGGGGGGATGAGGAGAGAAGTCACGCCCAGCCTTCCAGATGCCTCTGCCCCTGGGATGGAGGGCAGCCACCTGACACCGCCCAGGGTCCCCAAGGGTCTTGCTCATGAGGTTTCAGTAGTTCAGTAGTTTGGAATTACTGCCAATCTTGCCACTCCAAGCATGATGAAATCTCTCTAGAATCCAACGGTTGACATAGTCCACCTTAGAGTCTCTGTTTGCCCAGTAATTCACTGCCAACTTGGCTGGGGTAGTTGATTGATTTGTTCTGTCCTCTTTTGTGGTACTAGGTGTCCTCTGCAGACTCCAATGTACTGTCATATCCTCCATGTGCACCTGGATATGCTGTGCACTGCTCCATTGAAGCCACTGAGGAGGCCCAGCTCTGACTCATGTGTTCCACAGCTTGAACCTGCAATTCTCTCTGTGGTTGGGGTTCTGAGTCCAGCAATTCAGTTGGGGGGATCCCCATAGAAAGTGAGGTGGTCCTAGGCCTGATTCTTGTGTGTGCTTGCCAATACAGGGTCCAGCACAATCCATTGCCCCAAATCTGCTTATGCACATGCTGGTGGTTGCAATTGTTGGGTCAGTTCTGTCTCCAGCCCTATCTTCTATACAAACCAATGGGTGTTTGAACCTAGCCCAATCCTGCCCACCACATACTTGGCTTTCATGACACTAGTGGGGGCGACCCACAATAACCCCCACCAGGCCCGCGCCCTACCCTGGTTCATGTGCTTGCCAGTATGTACAGCAGATTGGTCCAGTCTTTCTCACATCCCATTCAACTCTCATACATGTCAATGGTCATTGAAGCCTAGTTCAATCTGACTAACCCCACTATCCAGCCCACACATATGCCGGCAGTGCCGCTCTCTGTCTAGCCATGCCTGCTCCAGTCCTGGTAGGTGTGACAGCATAGCCCAGCATGATCTGTACCCCAATCTGGTTTCTGCACTTGCTGGTGAGCTAAGGTTTGCTTGGCCCTGCCTGGTCCGCCCTTCTCCAAAACCAACCCACACATTAGTCAACAGTTGGAGCTACCTTACCTAGCTTGCCTGACTCCTAGGCCAGGACCATGTGCTCATCAGTGGGAGCTATGACTCTGTAGGAGAGCTTCCCAAGTTCCTCTACCCTGCCCATTCCCAGACCCAGATCTCATGCGTGCCAGTGGGTGCTAGGCCCTTGCCCAGTATAGTCTGCTCCTCCATCTTTGCCTTGTATTAGCTGGTGATTATTGTGGCCTGGCCCACCCTACCCCCTGTTTTAGGATGCACATGCAGGTGCTGCAGCCTGGACATGCCCAGGTTATATTCTCTGTCCTTGTACCCATGAGTTGTTGATAGGTTGCACGATCACACCTAGCTCAGCCCATCACCTCCCCAGCTTTTGAGCTAACCAGCAGGATTTCCACAGGGTTTGGCCCACACATCCCTCACAGAATCTACCCTCAGACATGGTTCTTGTGCGTGCTAGTTAATGTTATGGCCCTGTCTGATGTGTACCATCCCCTGTTCCGGCATTCAGTCAGGTACTGGGATTTAGTTCTGCTAGACAGGCCCCTAGTCCTAGCTTTAGTGTGTACTGGTATGTGGTAGTCAGCAATGTTCTATGCTAACAAGCCCAACTCCAGATTCCCATGTATGCTGGTGCATGAGTCTGACCCATACAGATCCTCCAAGCTCTCCCCTCCAAACCACCAGGTCTCAGTCCTCTTGCTTAACTGCAAGTACAGTGACCCTGTTGGTGAGTGTCCCTCAGGATTCATTCCTCACCTACCCCTTTTCCTTGGATGTCCCTAGGCAGTAATTCCAGACCCCAAAGACCCCAGAGCTTGCTGCCAGGTGGCCAGCAGGCGAAGCCTGGCTCCATTGGCGCTTTGGTCATCTACCAGCCCAGGATTCTCCCAATGCTTGGCAGTGGGGCAGGAAGCTAGGATCCTTAGCAGGAAGTCTGGCTCAGCATGGGTTCTTCCAGCTGCAGCTACGTGACTGGGAAATTCAGACACACGCACCTCTGAGCAGACTTGACTGTGCCGTGGCAGTGCCTTAGTGTTTTTCAAAATTCCATTTGTAACTTGATCTATGAGTAAAGAAATGGCTTAAATTACAGATGACTTTAGAGGCAAATTTATTTTACTTGTTCACTTGATATGATGCTTGTTGGTGTTACAGCTTTTTTTCTGGGTTGTGATTTCTTACACTCTACTGCAGGAGTGAGGACCACGTGGTTGTAGGGCTCCTCTTCCGTAATAGAGGGCACAGTACCTGCGATTTCTGCAGGGGGGCTGGAATGGTGCACTTGCTGTGGGGCCAGCCAGCTACTAGGTAGTTGGCTACATTGCTAGTAATTGGCGGTGGTATGACTGTTGGCAAAGCTGAGTGATGTGACTTTAGTATATACTTTTCCAGAAGTGATGAGGTTGCCGCGCATATGAACAGTATTTCTTGAGTTTTCAGTATAAGTGGGAAAATACTATGATTCAAATATACAAAATAGATTACATGTTTAGAAGTTCTGCTAGTAAAGGTTAGAGACTTTACTCTCCTAGAGCCTTAGGATATAAGAAACATACATCAAGAGTCAGGGACTGAAGTTGGGAGCCTGGAACTCAGCTGCTTGCATGGCCACCACAGCCTCCCAGGATCTGCAGCAGCAGCAATATGGACGTGATCTGGTGCCAGCCACTGTGATGTGGGATGCAAGTGTCTTAGCTGGCTTCCTAACCACCAAGACAAATGCCATTCCATATTTTCATTTTGAATTAGGTGGTATGCAAGCTTTGCCTTGTTCCCAGAGAAAATCTGTAGTCTAGAGAGTAGCTTTTAAGTGCTTTTCCAAGTTAACACGCAGAAGTATGTCAGGCAAAGAAATGATGTTCAAAAAAGTGATAATGAACATTTCCCAAAGATCCTGGGTGGGTGTGTGCAGCTCGTACCTCAAAGCATGTTGTAGAAACAGCTTCTGGCGGGTTGGCTAGGACAACAGGAATGGCTGGTGTCCTTATGTTCAGACCCTTCAAATGATTTTAGACTTAAAATATCTTCATGTCTGTCTGGTTAAAATCATTTGGCAAAATAAGTTCGATTGTAAGGCATCTAAAATTGAGCCCAAGAAAGCCAAATACATCCATTTTTTTTTTTAAGATTTATTTTTATTATTTTCTTATTGGAAAGGCGGATATACAGAGAGGAGAGACAGACAGGAAGATCTTCCGTCAGATGATTCACTCCCCAAGTGAGCACAATGGGCCGATACTATGCCGATCCAAAGCCAGGAGCCTCTTCCGGGTCTCCCATGCGGGTGCAGGGTCCCAAAGCTTTGGGCCGTCCTCGACTGCTCTCCCGGGCCACAGGCAGGGAGCTGGAAGGGAAGCGGGGCTGCTGGGATTAGAACCGGCGCCCATATGGGATCCCGGGTGTGCAAGGCGAGGACCTTTAACCACTTGCGCCACCGCGCCGGGCCCCATCCATTTTTTTTTATAATAAAATCCTCATAGTTAATACCATGGAGACTGAAGTTACAACTTCTAGAATTTAAATCTCAGCATATTTTGTAGTATCAAATTTAAGTGAGTTACTTAAAACCTTTGTTTTGAATTATTTTTATACTTTTTTTTCTTTTATAAAGGATATGTGTCATTGGAGAGAAAAATGTAGATGTCTCAAGGGACTTTAAAACTCATGGAAATTTTGGAAAGCCGTATAATTCATCCATACATTCTTCCTTCCTTACAAGGGACAGAGTGTGGAGAGACAGCAAGATCTCCTATCTGTTGATTCACTTCTCAATCACGTTTTCCAGAGCTGGGCCAAGCCGAAACCAGGAGCCTGGAATTCCAGATAGGTCCTCCTAGTTGCGCCATTATCAGCAGCCTTCCAGACACATTAACAAGTAGGTCGGACTCAAACTGGCTATCCAGTATGGGGCGCACTTATTGCAAGCAATAAGTAGTTCAGTTTACTGAACCCCAATGGCTACCCCAGTGTATGGATTTAAAGTCTTTTAAAATTTATTTTTATTGTTTCAATTGGAAAGGCAGACTCACAGAGAGAAGGAGAGAGAAAATTCTTCTGTCTGCCAGTTCACTCCCCAAATGGCTGCAATGATAGAGCTGAACTGAGTTGAGCTGAAGCCAGGAGTTAGGAGCTTCTTCCAGGTCTCCCATGCAGATCCAGGATTCCATCCTCCACTGTTTCCCAGGCCATAAGCAGGGATCTGGTTCAGAAGTGGAGCAGCCGGGATATGAACCAGCTGTGGAATGCTGGTGCCTGCAGACAGAGGACTAGCCAATTGAGCTCTCACAGTGGTCCTTCTGGAACAGGCCTCCCTGCTCTTGGTTAGCAGGTGTTGTAGACATTGATGCTGTATGCGTCACTCTGAAGATGAAATAAACTACAGCCAAGAAACCAACAGAAATGGGGGCTAAAGCCTTGATTTTGGTCTCACCCTAACTGAACTCTGTGACTTTTGATTCGTTCTTGTGTCCCATGGGTAGTGCAGCTGCCTCTTGACTCCCGGGACCTTCTGCCCACTTGGTGCTGTCTTTCCTCTCCATCTATACTGGGGAGCAGGCAAGCAGAGTCATGCAAATCACGCAGTGTCATCTTGTATTGGTGACTTTGGGGAGGGCTCTTAGGGAAGAGGAGGTGCTGCCTACTGCTCTCTGTCACTGCAGGTGCCTGACAGGAGTGGCTTGTGCTAAGGAACAGGCTCTCGGGGTCCTCACCCTGCCATGTCTCCCCACCGTCTGTCCTTCCTGAGCCTCGTAACTCACCATCCTTCAATTAGCCCTCCTGAACATGCGTTAGCTCAGTGGCCCCACTCCCCACAGCCCTGCTTCTTACTCCTCGGTGCTTTCTTCTTTCCACACAGTCCTCCGTCTGTGCCAAGATCGTGCAGCTCCTGGGTCAGAACGAAGTGGACTATCGCCAGAAGCAGGTGGTCATCCTAAGCCAGGACAGCTTCTATCGTGTCCTCACGTCCGAGCAGAAGGCCAAGGCCCTCAAGGGCCAGTTCAACTTTGATCACCCGGGTGAGTGTGTGTGTGTGTGTGTGTGTGTTTGTGGACAGACATGGACGTGGTAGGCTGGGGGAAGGGGGAATCTTTTAGTCCTGTTCATGAGGAAGTCGCTTTGCTTTTCTGGAGCCATCTCAATGTATATAATAAGACATCATAACTAACTCTGAGGATCATGGAGGGACTTGTAGGAGAGGAGTTTTGAAATGCTCTGTGTGGTCCTTAGCTCCTGTCTGACCGAGTCTGCATCTAAGCCAGACCCTACATGGAGTACACACACCCTTGTCTGGGTGCTCGCTCTGACTGTGATGCATGCACGCACTGTGTGGGTTCAGCCCACTGGAGGGCAAACAGGCAGAGAGCTAGCCATCTTGGGGGTCTCCCCAGCAGCTTGAATCAATACTCCTTTTCGCTGGTTTGGGTTTTTCTCTTAGTGGTTTAGCATGGTACCTGAAGAACGTACCCGCCAGCTTTGATTCTGCTTTCCAGGCTGCTGGATGCCTGTCCCGGGACAGCAGCTGAAGCTCCAGGCAGGAGAGAGCTGCCTGAGGCCAGGGTCGGGATGGCATAGGGGAAGAGCTTGGCTTCTCTGGGGGTGCGGCAGGGGGTTTATAGGTGGGTGGAGATGCCAGGCCAGGGTCGTAGGAGAGAGCAATTTAAAGCTGAGGACTCTCTGTAACAGCATGTTTTCCTCCAGATGCCTTTGACAATGAACTCATCTTCAAGACGCTCAAAGAAATCACAGAAGGAAAAACGGTCCAGATTCCCGTGTACGACTTTGTCTCCCATTCCCGGTAGGTAAGCGGTTCAGGAGCAGGGATTGCTACCACTTGCAGCCCGGAATGTTCCTAGCCTGTGCTGTACCCGTTTCCCCGTCCTATGTATTAGCCTTCTACCCTGGCTCTGCGCAAAGCCCCCACTGCAGTGAGTTTCAGAGCGGTGGCTGCACTGCAGGTGGCACGCTGGGCGAGTATATCCAGGCCCTTCCTGGAACTGCCCAGCCATCCTGTTTTGTTAACTCTAAAGGAAAGGATCATGACTGGGGCTTGAGTGAAGGACCACATGTTTATTCTGTTGACATCCCTGAGTTGCTGTTTCTGGAATGTGCAAGGAGCTGGGACAGAAGAGGGCCAGGAAGATGAATAAAGAAAACTGTTCTTTCTGCTCCCCAACTCTCTTGGGCATGGACCCAGTTGGTAAGGTCCATGAGCTTAAGGGCATTGCATGCTGCTGTCAGAATTCATTGTTGCCTCCAGGAGGCTCCTTGGTCCTGTCATGCCACCCCTTCTCCAGTGGACCTCGTGTTCCTGTGCCCCACCTTAGTGTCTGCCTTGGAGGCACTGATAAGGACAGCTGCCCCGAGGGGTTCTGACCCGTGACTTTGACACTGGCCTGTGGTACAGTCAGATCAGACACAACTAAGGCCTTTACCTCCGCACAGATGCTCTCTCTGTCATGTCTCCTCTTGGTCAAAGCCTTGAGGACTTGATCCAGGTGTCTCTTCTTTTCCTCCCTCCTTCAATTGGCCTTAGGACTTGTGGGGAAGAGAATTGAGCTTCTGCATTTAAATGGTCACATTATGAGGCTCCCTAAATCTAGACACGAGGGCTTTTCTGCAGAGGAACGCTGGCCATGTCTGCTTTGTGGCCAGAGCTCAGGAGAAGCTGGGAAGCCTTTTCTTTCTTGACACTTAGAGGCCATGGAGGGCTCTCTAAGGCCTCTGGCCCCAGCTGGCGCTCACGTGCCCTCTGCCTGCAGGAAGGAGGAGACGGTTACTGTCTACCCTGCCGACGTGGTGCTCTTTGAAGGGATCCTGGCCTTCTACTCCCAGGAGGTCCGAGACCTGTTCCAGATGAAGCTGTTCGTGGACACAGATGCCGACACCCGGCTCTCCCGCAGAGGTGCGTTCTCCAGGCTGCAGGTTGCTGCGGGGTTTGGGGTGGGAGAGCCTGTGGTGGGCCCTGAACCTGAAACGCATGCGTGTGCCTTCCCTGAGGTTGCCTTGTGGCCCAGCCCAGCCCAGCCCAGCCCAGCCCCAGGATATCCTCGTGCCCAAACTTTGATGACATTTGAGAAGGGATTAGTCACTTAACTGTTTTTGTTAAGGCCTGTGAGGTCACTGAGATAAAATAAGAACTTGACATTCTGGTTTTGCTGGGAAAAAAGTTTGGCATAATGCTTCAGTGCCTTGTGATTCCTCCTCCCCCCCCCCCCGCCCCCCCGCCCCTGCTATAAAGGCTTCAAAATCAGAATGCCTTGATTTGGGGAACTAGCTGTAGTTGTGGGGACAGGAGCCCACTGTGCTTGCAGTGCCCGGTAGCTCGTCCTCCCAGCCTAGTTCCCTAGGCCTGCCTATGGAAGGGCTTTTATCTTCCTGAGAGCTTGGAGGAGGCTTTGCCAGCTAGCAGCCCTGATCCTTCTGTAGGCATTTGTGAGTTGCGCACCTGTGCCCTGCTGAGCCTATGCCTGGGGCCCAAAGGTGCAAGCACTCGGGCTGGGGAGCCGGCCTGTGAATTCAGTAGGATCTACTTCTTCCAGAAGAGATCCAGAGGCTTCGCGGTGGGAGTGGGTGGGGGACGTGGACGCAGGGCAAGGGGGTGTGGACAGAAGTGGCTGGGGTATGCAGAAGGCTGTTTGGGGGGAAGAGCTGTGAAGTGGGTCAGGGCCGGGCTGTGGCAGGGTAGAGCTTCCCCAGGGTTTTGAGTGGGCTAATGGAGTGACCACTGCCCTGTGTTGGACTATTATTGTGGCAGAGGAGACATGAGTGAAGACAGACTCGAATCCAGGTGACCATTTCTCGGGCTGTGAGACATGTCTGCAGTGGTCTGTGTCCGTACTGTCCTCACAGAGGCTCCTCTGGGAGCTGGCAGAGCAGACAGGAACCCGTCCTGGAGGTTGCCCTCCCTGTGGTCATGAATGAATCGGGGTGGGAACAGGCCGTGGCTGCGAGCTGAGTGCTGTGAAGGCCTGTGACTTAGTCTCAGAGGGTCTGTGACATCTCTGGCTTGGGTTTCTTTGTGGGGAACCCGAGGGGCGCAGGCCTTTCGGGGACTGGGTTGGTGGGGAAGGCTCTAGACGAGTAAAAGTTGTGTGTTCATCTTTGAATAAAGGAAGCCCCAGCCCAGCAACCCCCGAAGTCTGGCTTGTCCCTTCCCCCCTCCCCCAGCGGGTTCATCTCCAGGTTGGTGTGCTCAGTGTCCCCATTCATTGCCAAGTTCAGAGAGGGAGCAAGATGCATCAGAAACTACATTTCGCAGTCCAGGGAGCTAGGCTGAGGTCCCACTTCCTAGAAATATGACCCTGGGCAAGTGCTGTGTTAGCCTCTTTGTGTCTCACTTCCTTGCCGGGCCATCTCCAGCGTAGATAAGCTGCCAGGTGGAATGGGCAGTGTTTGCGTGGCAGATAAGGAATCTGCTTCCGGCTGAAGCCACCCGTGTCTGCTGATTTGCCACTGGGACTTGTCAGGGCCTGGGGAGCTGTGCCAGCGCTTGCTTGGCCAGCAGGAGAGCCCAGGGAATTAGAACCACGTCAGGAGTAGTGGAAAGTCAGTGAGTCATGTTCTGTACATACGCAGAACATTCTCGTCCCCGTTTCTCACCTGGGAACCATAGGAACATCTGGGGGTAATCCCCAGGGTGATGGGACTCTCCCGGGGTGGGGGGTTCTGAGGGTCGGGTCTGGCAGTCACTGCCTTCCCTAGCGGTGTCTGGTCACCTCCCCCCGCCCGACGAGACGCACTGTTTACACAGATCCCTTCTCTCTCCATGTAGGACAGGAAGCATGACTGGCATGTGCTTGCGGCGGGTTGCAGGATGAGGGAACAGGGTGGGTTCGTCAGGAGCAGCTGTTGAACTTGAGAGCATTCTTGGAGACATGAGTTGCTCCAGGATTTCAGCCATCTGTCACCCTCCTGGGCGTGGGACCGTCGCAGGAGAGGGGTCTGCTCTTGAGCAGTGGGCCTTTGAGGGGTCCCTCCTTGCACTGTGAGGGATTTAGCAGTGCCTGCCTCTGCCTCCCACCTCACTTGCTCTTCACCCTGCCCTGCCTTTGGCTGTGCGAATGGACTGGGGCTCGGGAGTGCTTAGCACCACTGATGACTGCCCCGCTCTGTATCATTCTTTGTGCCCAGGTCACATAGAATTAAGACTGCAGCGGCCTGGGCGATATTCGGTCTGTTCGTTTACTGGGGGGCGCACTTTTGCCACTGAGGAATCTTCCCCTGTGTTTTGAGTTCTTCTGAAGTTGTCCTTGGGCCTGGGCTGACCAGAAGGGGCCCTGCTGTGTTCGGAAGGGCTGAAGCCAAAGGCTGGGCGAGGGATGCCGTTGCCCCTGTAGCTGCCTGCTCTTGTCTCCCTTCTCAGAAAGGGCCTGTGCTGGTGCAGCAAGCGTACTGGTTTCTGAGTAAGGACGGGGGAGCTGCTTTGTGCCCTCTGCTTACCATGTTCTTGTTCAGGCTCTGCCCTGGGCTTGGCTACTCTTTACTGGCTGTGTCTGAGGGGCAGTACATTCCAGTCCAGAGAACTGCCTGGTGCCGTGTTGTCCTTGGCTCAAGAAGGGGTCCCAGGAGGCCCAGAGTGGTTACTGTCTCAAGTTTTGGGGGGCAGAAATGGGCAGTGACCTTTGCTTTTTGTGTGTTCCCTCTGGTGGGACCCATTTTCTGTGTCCTTATCCTAAGGGGAATCTTCCCCTCTTCCTTATTTCTTTTTCCTGCTGTCATGGTGTCTGTGTCCCCTCCCGGGCCACAGCACCACCCGGCCTGCTGCTCTGTAGGACTTGGGGTTCAGTCTGCTGCCTGGGCAGCTGAGCCTGTCCTGCCTGCCTGCCCGAGATCACGGCTGCTGTGCTGCCACTCTGGGGTGTCACAGAGCCAGGGCTCTGCAGAGGGAAGTGTCCTCATAGGAACATGTGGGCCAGGAGCACTTGCTGTGTCCCGCTCCCCGTGTGGAAGAGTGTTGCCCCCTCCCTGTGTCCCTGCATAGCAAGCTCCTGTTTTTGTCCCCATGTTACAACTAAGGAAATTGAGATTCAGAGAGGATAACTTGCCCGGGATCACAGAGGAGGAGTTAACTGAGGTCAGAATTCACATCAGTGCCGCCCACAGCACGGAGGACCAGAAGCAGGGTTTGGGCTGTACGGTAGAGTTCCCATTGGTTACCTCTTCCCCTGCTCCTGCAGGGCCACCTGATTCTAACCAGTGACATAACAGAAGAAGCCACCAGGTCCGCCAGACACAGGGAAGCCAGCAGCTGACACTGAGGCCGTGTCAGGGTGAGGGGAAGGGAGAAGTTCGTGTGAAAGAGTAGGTGCGTGCCCAGAGAATGGCAAAGATCCCCACAAGTGCCAGATCCTTCAGAAGTTGTGCGACAAAAGCACGTCCTGTAAAACAAACTTGGCATTGGGCTATTTGCAGGGACGTGTGTGCTGCCCGTGTGCGTGTGTGCGTGTGTGCGTGTGTGCGCTCTGACCCTAACCCTGATACCCTTCTGATCTGGCTTCCTTTTTTCCTGACCTTTCTTTGGAAGCATGTGAAGAACTGGAGACTGCACTCTGTGTATTTTGGCCATGTTGTAGTCTTTAGTTACGTGCGCCAGAGCTTGCAGGACTTCTGGGTGCAGGCCACGTGGCAGCTCCTTCTGCCTCCCTGCTGCCCGAGTATTCCCAGCCAATCCCTGTGTGACAGTGCAGCAGAAAGCCATTCCCCGGCCAGGCGGGGCTGGGCAGGTCGGGCAGGCAGTCGGAAGTCCTGGCACATTAGGGACTAACCGAGCGTTTTATTGCCAGGACGCTTGACGAGCTGCCTTGAAAGACTGTGGTGGCTCTCTGGAATGTGGACTCCCCGGCACTTTTCTAGCCTGATGATCTTGTAAACTTACGTCAGCACTCTCCTTCCCCATCCCTGAGTGCGCGTGTGGGCATGCGCACGTGCGGTATTGGAGACCGCTGCTTTCCAGAAAATTCACAGCTGTTCCTGGGTGTTTGCTGATGTGGAACTGATTGTTACACTGGAGTCTGATAGCCAAGGGATGGTTGCGAATGAGCCGAGGGGCCGTTGCCAATGGCTGTGGGTCTGGTAACTTTTGCAGGTGGTGGTGAAAGACTTGGTGGATGACGGCGGCCGAGAGAGGCCATTTTCATTGAGGGCACCTCCGTACCTATCAGCTCCTAGGGGGAAACCGAGGCTGTAAGAGCCTAATGTGTCGTGGCACCATCAGGATTCACCACTTGTTCTGTTTGTTTATTTCTGCCCTCCATTAAGAAAAAAAAATAAAACGGGTGAAAAGCCCCTGAGTAAATCTGTCCAGGAAGATGGTTCACCCAGCCCCAACTCATAGTTTCCTAGTGTACAATATTCTCTTCTTCACAATGTGGCTTTTCCTGCCTGCAAACCTGTGTGCGCAAGGATGGTGGGCCTGGCTACTGCGACGGGCCACCCCGCCTCCCTTCCCCGCTATTGCGAGGACTGTGGGTGGGATCCGGGCTTAGCAGGTCAGCAGACTTCCAAACACAGGCAAGTGCGGGGGACAGCAGGAACCCCCACCACCTGTCTGGCCTGCACTGCTTCCTGTTGTCCCCCCACCTTTTTTTTTTTTAAACCTTCCTCCTCCTCTTTATTGTGAAATCACATTTTTATTGGAGTCAAATTCAATTAGAGACAAGAAGGCTGTTGATCCTGGCCAGGCAACACTTTGTTTCAGAACTATCAAGGACCCTCGGAGCGCGCCTCCTGTTGGGGATCGGGGATGGGTGGGAGGTAGGATGGGGCTTTTCCCTTTGTTACTCCCCTAACCCCAGATACAGGGCAAAATGATTATATTAGTGTGGAAACAATGATATTACCCACTTTCACCCTGTAGCCTTGACCCTTGGTACCCTAATAAACTAAGATTATTTAAAAAAAAAAAAACAGAAAACATTTTGTCACAGCAGAATCTGACTCCAGTAAAACAAGAAGCATGGAACTCTTTGTTTGTGTAGCTGCTGCTGCTGCTGCTGAGCTGCCCTGTGTCAGGTCGCTCGGGACGCCAGCTCATCCCGAGCACTCGCGAGGGGCGGGCGTGCTGGCTCCTGCGCCGCGTTCTTGACCGCCGTCTCTCCTTGTCTTGCAGTATTAAGGGACATCAGTGAGCGAGGGCGGGACCTGGAGCAGATCCTCTCTCAGTACATTACATTCGTCAAGCCCGCCTTCGAAGAGTTCTGCTTACCAGTGAGTGTTTCTTGTTTCGTTGGCACTGAGTATGGGTTCTAGACCTGAACCAAGCACGGGGAGGCCTTTTCATGGCCCTGCACAGAGCACTGATGCGGGGAGCCACAGGTGCGCTCTTTGGCACTTGTCTTTGACCCCAGAGAGGTCATGCAGGACACAAGCTTCCTTACCGAAGCCCTGACACAGACTTCACAGGTCTTCCTTGTAGTCCTACCCACGGCGGTGGCTGAGAATCCTCTAGGAAGGTCGCTTTCAGAGAAAGAAGTGGGGAAGGAGGGCTGAGCCCCTCAGCTTTTAGTGAAACGGTGCTCTCGGCTTGGGAGACAGCATCCACTTCCTAGGGAAGGGACAGAAAGGTTCAGGTTCAGGTGCAGGGAAGCCCGCTGGAGATCAAAGCATGTGGTGTAGCAAGGTTGTAAGAGAGGAGGGCAAGCAGATGGCCTGGTTTCAGAAGCGAGGCCTACACCCCAGTCATTGTGTCTTCTGCAGCTTGGCCATACCACGATTAGATCCCTCAATTAAGTTAAACTCCAAAGAGGATTTGAGGGCAGGGCGGGCGAGTTTGGGACTTGTTCTTGGATAAGGTCCTCTGAGGAGCCTGTCTTTGGGAAGGCCTTGGGAACAGGTTCAGAGTTAAGCCGGGTGTGGGGAATTTTTCTTAACAAACAACAGTCTTAACAATTAACTTTTTTCTTTTTCCTCTCTTGGAAAAAAATGTATTCCCAACCTGCCTTTGTTTCTTTACGTCAATCTTGTATTTCAGATCAGATACAGGTAAATTTTGAGTTTGCTGAGAAACCTTCAGGCCCCCATTCATTGCCCTGGAGACAGTTGGGTTACAAGATTAGGTTTCTGGAAGGAGGCCAGAGAGTGCCAAGGAGCTGGGAGATCCCTTCCTGCCTTCTGTCATCCATTTCTCTCCCAAGGACGTGCCTGCTCTAACTTGATAACACAACGTGAGTTTATTACTAGATGGTGAATAGAATTAACTGCCAACTTCCTGCCATCTGACTTAGTTATAGTGGAGTTCAAAGTTCTAGACAGACACTTTGTGGGTGATTTCCGCTGATGACTTTGTTCAGGCTAGATGTGGGCCTGTTGCAACAGCTTCGGCATGATGGAGGCACAGGGAGAGGCCTGTGCACCTAATTTTTGTTTGTGTTGCATTGTATCTAGGCAATGCTTTTGTAGTCTTTTGCTAGACTGAGGTCGTATGTTAGGACATGGGAACTTTTAAAATGGTCCACAAAAATCTAAGATCACTCACTAAAAATGAAAGGAATATGACTAATGGTGCACTTTATTAAAAAAAAAAAAACCTTACATGGTATAATAATAGGCCGTGGCACTTGCCATGGGTGTGGACAGCTTTTCTGTGCCTGGGGGTCAGTGGTACACCGTCTCATCCTGAGCATGAAGGTCCGAGGTGAACTGCTCCGCTTTCACATTTGGACTTTTCTAATTCAAGTTTTTCTCAGTGGCGACAAAACAAGCTTGCACTTCAAAGACCAAATGTCCTTTGTGCAGGCGGAGACAGACATTGCTAACAAGAACTTAAGCAAAAGCAGGTTTATTGTCATTGAGAGTAGATGAATATATATTTTTGAATTAGCCACCCAATTGATTCACTTCCTTTGTTGGTACAGAAAAGCCCTCATTCCTTGTTCTTTATCCCTTTTCCCTCGCTTCTTCTCCCATTGCTTTCCAGTTAAATAAGGTCCCTTTTGGGTTTGCTGAAGTCTCTAGATGCCTCCACCATGAAATGGCACACACTACCCTATTGGAAGCCTCTTGCCTTGCCCTCTGGGGTTGGTAGCAGGAAGACTGGCACTTTCCCATGATTCCTTGGAGGAGGAGTTCAGGCCAGTTTAACCTCTGGATTTTCCCTTTAATATCCTATGCTTTTCTCCACAGACGAAGAAATATGCCGATGTGATTATTCCTAGAGGTGCAGATAATCTCGGTGAGTGAGTCCGGGTGGGGTGCCATCCTTTGGTATGAAATCTCTGCCTGTTGTTAGTCCTGCTTTGGAGCCAGTGTGGGCACCACAGCAGGTCCCTTCAGTGGTGTCTGAATCCTGGGCAGGATGGCACCATTGTGTTAGTTGCCGACTGTGTGTTCCTGTGGGCAAGGACAGGCATGATCCCTTGCTTCACGCTGCAGGGCCGTCGACCACCTGCTGCCTTCGCCTTCTAACGATATTGGGAGCTTTGCATCTGAGGCTGTTGCAAAAGCAGCTTTCCTCCTTAATCTCATTTAGGATGATTTGCAGTCATTCTCATCCACAGCCGCAGTGCAGTCATGGTGCAGAAAACCTTCCATTGACACATTCTCTCAACCTTGACATGTACCTCAAGTCTTCCGGTTTTCCTGACACATCTTTGGGGTGTGTGCCCATTAGTCATTAGACTGGTCCTGAATATGGGCGCATCCTTTGCTTCCTCACAAATGAGATCAGTTTATGTGATCAGGAGGAGTGCTGTGTCACATCAGAAAAGACTGGATGTGTCTTCCATTTCTGGGAGATGTTAGCATTGATTGCTTGGTTGAGAAGTTGAATTTATCTTTGAGGACGACAGAGAGGAGGGATGGGGGGTGTGGGGGGTGTCTTCCAGGAGATTGCTTATCATAGTGGAAGGATCTCCTGACCAGTGGTGTCAGAGCCACAGCCAGGCCTTGGGCCTGCGAAATGTTGGTGGACTGTTTGCTCCAGCGCTGGCTCTCGATCCTCTGCTGGTGAGAAGCCCATTCATTAAGGGCTGATGAATGCCAGGTATTGTCCCCCTTGCTCCTTCGCACTCTGCTGCGAGAGGGAGGTCGTTCCCCGGCCAGAGGTTCTGGGAAGTGAAATGGCTTGGCCCTTACGTGGCAGGCAACTTCCTTGGAAGTCTTGTCCCTGCTTCTTGGCGTGTGTCACAGACCCAGATAGCAGCCACAGCCCTGCACTTGCTCTCACGCCTCCCTCCCCCATCCCTAACGCTGCTGGTCTCTGCCCCACAGTGGCCATCAACCTCATCGTCCAACACATCCAGGACATCCTCAACGGAGGACTCTCCAAACGGCAGACCAACGGCTGTCTGAATGGCTACACTCCTTCACGCAAGAGGCAGGCGTCAGAGTCCAGCAGCCGGCCGCACTGACCCCTGCCTCCTTCAGAACCCAGCGCCTCTCTCCAGGAGACAGAGGAGGGGTCAGGAGGCACTGTTCATCTGTACATACCGTTTCCTATGACATTACTATATTTAAGAAAACACCATGGAGAGGAAATGCCTTTGATTTTTTTTTTTTTCTTTTTCTTTTTGTACTCTGGAACGGCGAAACAAAAACAGAACTTGACCCTGAGCTTAAATGACAAACTGTGCCAACTACTACTGGTGATGCCTAATTATGACTCCAACATGTAACCAGTTATAAATACATACATATATATATATATATATATATAAAAGGATCTATTTTTGTGTAAATGTACAAATACTGTAAAGCTGTTTGCCGTAAGTATTTTGCAGGAGGGCCTGTAATGAGAGTTTGGGGTCTGGAGTTGGAATTCCTCCAAGGGGAAACGGCCTCATGTATTCTAGGTGGGGCAGAGTCCGGCACCTGCAGGGTGTGTGCAAGGAGGAGGGTGGCTAGCCCCGGGTTCCTGGAAATGATCCGGAATGGGGTTCAAAGCCCTTGACCTGTTCCCTTCCCATCAGAGGCCTCCCCCTCCCCCACTCCTCGCCGTGGAGCTGGATATGTGGGTTTGAGAGACTCCTGTCTTTTATTTTAGTTTAGTTTATTTTGGTTTAAATTAGTTAAGATCAACTCAAAAAGTCAAACTCAGGGAAGAAGCCCATTGAGAACAGCCAGAGCCTGCTTTGCCACCTGCCTCTGGCTGCCGGGATGGCCCCAGCGCCCCCTCCTCGCTGCCTCTCTTGCTGGGTCACCTTGTGAGTGCAGTGGGGTAGCAGCACCTTGCCTCCCGTGGTGTCTGGGCCAGTGCTGGCTCCTTCCGGGAAACAGCTGGTCAGAGCCCAGACTTTTTTTTTTTCCCAGAGAGCAGAAATGTGTGGCAGCCTCTTGGCAGCCTGTGTTTTGGTGAAGGACTTGTGGTCCCAGGTTGGCAAGACCGTGCGGCCAGTGTGGGGGTGGTTGTTCGTGTACTCTGTGTCCGTGAGGGGGAACAGGCAGGCACCTTGGCCACCAGGAAGCTCACCAGTGACCCCGACTCTGGGTGATTTTGGGTTTGATGGCATCCCGGCAGCTGTGGGGCCAGTGGGGCCTGAGTGGATTGAAGAGGGAAGGTTTTGAGTTACAGACACCTCTTAAGTTGACAGCTGGGTTGAGAGAAGGTTCAAGTGCTGATTCTTCACCTTACATGTATGGAGTGGAGCATGTGACCACAGAGTCCCAGGCCTCAGTAGCCCCGGCGCTTCTTTTTTTTGCTTGGTTTGCTCAGTGCCTGGGAGGCCAGGCCTTCAATGTCTGCGGTGTGTGGGATATTCGTTTGCTGGTGATCTGGGCCATGCCCTTGGTGATGGATGGGCCTGTGCCACCTGCCCTCGCCTGATACCTTGGAAAGTTATTGTCAGAGCCGTTCAGGTAAACTCAACTCCATTGACTCTCAACACCAGATCTCCCCTTGGACTCAGGGCCGTCTGAGACCGGCTAAGTGCTGTTTTTCGGGACTTAAAATTTAGACTCCATATCCTTTGGGCTATGTAAAAGGAAAATTCACACATAGCACGCCATGACAGAGTTTGGCCACCTCTGAGACCTCAGGAGACCATGTCACCAGCCCTGAGGGTAGCTCCTGGTGCTGCCTTTGGTGGGACTGGGCTGGGAAGGCTGCCCAGGTGCCTCCCGGAAGGGCTCAGGCGCGTCCCTCTTGGGCCTTGTGGTTTGACTGCTTCCTGCACGGTTCCGGGATGCAGGGTAGATGGCAGGCCTGGGTTAGAAGCTTGAGGACCCAAGGGCTAGCGGCCTGGAAGGGGGCTCGTTTGTGCTAGGGGATGCCTCGGCCATTCAGTGGGGTAGCACGCTCAACTTTACTTGAAGAAGCTCCCAGGTGCCAAACCATTTAGTGCCTTGGCTATCTATCCCACTGCCTTGGAAGAGGAATTCTCATCTCTGAGCCCTAACTACCTTAGCTGCTGCTTCGTTTGCCTGTGGTATTGGGACCAAGCCCCTAGGATGTCTGAGCAGTTCACTCTGCTGCGCTGCCCCTGCTCCTGGTATAAAGTGACCACTGTAGTGTGGCTGGGACCCCGGGCAGTGACACCCCGTGTCCGTGCCAAAGGAATGGAAGGCTCTGCCGCTGTCCATGGCAGCTCATCATGTACCGATTGTATTCTCAACTGGAACATACTGCCGTAGGGCAGACTGTGGTCTTCTTTTTAAAAAGCTTTTGGCTCTCTGATTCCGTTGGAGACACGGGAGCAGAACTAAGACTTACTAGACCCAAGCCATCGCATCTGCCATCTGGGTCCCTCTGCTCCTCAGGGAGAGGCACGGAGGAGCAGTGGGGTGAGGGTGCTCACAGGGGCATGGGAGTCCCCTAGCTTCAGAGCCACCCCACGGTGCTTGCTTCTCTCCCCTGCTCAGGTATTGTTGTGGACCAGGTGTTATGTGCCCTGGAAGGTTGGGCCTCACACCCTGTCACACCAATGGAACTCCTGCTGTCCCAAGTTCGTTCTTTCCTTCAGGATGGTCTGAGGCCACCACAGGGTCCGAGGATGAAAACGCCATGATTTCCAAGATTCTTTGATGTGGAGTGGACGGGGTGGGCCCTTAAAGGGGCAATGGATGCACTAGCGGGATCTTCAACAAAATAGGCCAGAGAAAAGTGGGCAAGACTGTGCCCAGAACTAACCTAATCATGCCCGATTCTGCTTGTGGCCACCCAGTCAGGAGGAGGCTGGCTGCTGTGCTGGAGACTGGATGCTTGTCGCAGTGTGTGGACTGGTTGGTAGCATCTCCTGGGACCCCTGGGGTGGGTCACCAGCCTGTGGGCTCCTCTGAGCAGTTGGGAAGCAGTGGGAGTTGAGCAGGGTTGGTTTGTACCTTCCATCCCTTGCTGCCCTTGTAGTTTCCTGTTTAGCAACCTTGACCTGTGCTAGCACCCAAGGCTGTGGGAAGGAAGTCGCCTCTTGCAGGCAAGTGTTTCCCCTCGCCCAGGTCTCCTAGGGGCTGGGAGACTTCTGGCAAGGCCAGGGCAGGCTCTGAGGTACAGCACGGTGCTTATGGGAAAGCTGGGCTTTTGCCACCCTCGTCCTTCACATTCGGCTCAGGGTGGAGGTGGCAGGGAGCATTCCAGGCATCCGACCAAGCAAGGGGAGTGGGTTGGCAAAGGCACAATTGGGCTACATTTGGAGCTCCGAGTCCCTGTAAGTCATGTGTGTGGATCTTGTGCCCTGCCAGGGCCTGCTGGCTGGTCCTTTGCCACCCTCTAGAGGCGCTGAGTACCTGCTGGGTCCTGCCTCAGAACGGAGTTAGCAGCTGAACTTTAGACTGAGTCTTTTGTTTTCCTTGAAGATGCTTGCTCTTACTCCTTTTCTTTTTACTGCCCCCCCCTTATTGTTAGCAGTTACAAAAGTGACATGCGTTATGTACTTTACTGTTAATAAACATGAACAAAAATGACCCAACTCTCGCCTGCTTTGTGGTGCTTGCAGAGCAGTGACGGAGACCTGCTGGCTGTGAGGCTCGAGGGAGGGCGGTGGGTGTGCTGAGCCTAACGGGGGCAGGGATGGCATCACCGAGCCTGTCTGGCTGGGCGTGTGAGTGGGCAGACCCCAGGCTTCAGCTGGGCTCGGGCCGCTGGACTTGGATTTCTCTTGGGAAGCCTGGGCCAGGGTTTCTGTGAGACCTCGGTTCTTTGAACTTTCTGGTTCTTTGCTCCCTCTTATGTCATCCAGTTTATGCATTTCCCTCACCCACCACCTTCCCTGAGCTGGTCATCCGGCCTGTGCCTCCCCTTTGACAAAGTAAGAGCAAAATCTAAGTAAGCATTTGAGTGGGGAGAAAAGAAACGTGGACGGTTTGCCAGTGCAGACCAGGCCCTGTTGCATCCATAGCCGCTGTTTGCTCTGGGATGAGTGGCCATGTAGGACAGTCGCTGCTTTTAAAAAGACAGGGTATGGGCCCGATGCAGTGCCCTGTGGCTAAATCCTTGCCTTGCATGTGCCTGTTCGTACCCCAGCTGTTCCACTTCCCATCCAGCTCCCTGCTTGTGGCCTGGGAAAATAGTAGAGGATGACCCAAGGTGTTAGGACCCTGCACCCGTGTGGGAGGCCTGGAAGAGATTCCTGGCTTCAGCACAGCTCAGCTCTGGCCATTGTGGCCACTTGAGGAGTGAAGCAGTGGGACGGAAGATCTTTCTGTGTCTCCTCTGTAATTCTGCCTTTCCAATAAAAAGAAAAAATATATATTTTAAAGACATAGATCAGCCATTACCCAGGATTTAATCATAAGTGGCTTTGGGGGTCGTGATAGCATCTGGAAGTTGTTCGCTTCTTTCGCCGGTCCCCTTTGCCCCCTGCCACCTGCCAGACACCAGAAGGCCATTACCCTGTGAGCAGAGCAGACCAGGTCTTCACTCGCTGCTCTAGGACAGCCGCAATCTCATCTGAGCACTGAGCATCTCTCTGACCAGATGTGCCCTTAGAAGGCCATTGTGTGTTTTGAATAACCCCTTAGTCTCCCCAAGAAATGCAATTGGCAGGTATCCCTGTCCCCAGAAGTGAGGCACCAAGTGCTTGATGCCGCACAGCAGCTGTGAGGCAAGCTCAAGCTTCTCTGCCCCACGGTGACCAAATCGGCATCCCACTCTTCTGTGTAGGGCGCCCCTGGACTCGCGCTTTGCTCTGCTGCCGTTGAAGGCACAGCTGGTGCAGGCCAACAAAGCTCACAGCGTCCTCTGTGCCAGCCTTCTGCACACCTGGGAGACACCTGTTTAACCAGTGCTGCTTCAGTCATAGCATGAATGGGTGATGAAGAGGCCTGTTAGAACCTGCGTCGAGGTTTTAGAGAAAAGGTGTGGACGGAGGTTGGGGAGATAGACAAGTATGCTGTGAGAGGATGGACTCAGAGGTGGCTTTCTGATAGTTGTTGCTGACTGGTGTTTAGAGTTCTATGTTAGACCAAATTTGCAATAATTTAAGAAAACTATTTGAAAGTTAATAGCAGAAAAAATCTATTAGCTGGTTCATTCCCAATTGCCCCAACAGCTGGTGTTGGACCAGGCTGAAGCCAGATGTTAGAATTAAATCCACATCTCTTCTGGTGACAAGAATGCTTAGTACTTGACACATGACTTCTGTGTTCTGCCACAAGCTTAAGCAGGAAGTTGGAGTGGAAAGTGGAGCTGGGGCTTGAACCTGGGCACTTTGATGTGGGACGCAGGCATCTCAAGAGGCATATTAACGGCTGTGTCAAGTAGCTGCCTTTGGACA